CCAAGTCATTAAACGTTTTGCCCAGTTGGTGAAGGGCGAGGGGTGCCGTAATTCCGCAATCGATCAGCAAAGTGAACGACCCGTCCCCGAGCATGGCATTATTGTTGAAATACTTTTTGGCAAAAGCGCTGCCTGTCCCCAGCATCTGAAGCTGCAAGCTCATCGGTTGATCCTCCTGTGAATGAGCGGCATGCCGAGCATGCCGTTCGTATTTTTTTCTTTCATTATACACCACAGTTCCCAATTTCCATCTCCCCCCATAATATGCTGTAAACGCGCGAAATGGGGTTTTGTCATGGCGAAGGGAAAAAGCAAAAAACCGGCACAAGCCAAAGGGGAAAAGGTCATCCGAGGCATGAGGCTCGTGACCTCCGACGTATGCGAGGCCTGTAAAACGCCTTGTGCCCGGGGAATGGCGTACGCGGCACGGATGAGAGTTCCGGGTGCGGTCGGCAAAGGGGTGCCCTGTATTTTAACCAAGAAGTAAGGAAAGAAATGAGGAACTGAACCAAAAATTTGGAGCTATAGTCCCACAAGGTGGGGCTTTTTTTGTGTTTCTGGAATAAAATCCCTTCACTTTTGAGAAAAAATGTGAGTTTTGTCCGTATGTACAGCGCAACTTGCGTTTGTACTTTTCGTATATACATACAACATCACGATGGAAATGGAGGGAAATGAACAAGATGAATTGGAAGAAAGTTATGGTATGCGTATTCGCCTTTTCCCTGATGGGGGGTTCTGTGTTTGCGGATTCGATCACCCAGAAAGTCAGGGTGTGGATGAACGGCAAGGAAATCCAGGACGGCGGTTATATCATCGACGGTAAAACCTATGTCCCGATCCGGGAGTTTGACGGGGTCGTAAAGTTTAATTCAGACACGAACAAGGTTGAATTCATTAAGCCTAACGTACATATATTTCTGTTTAATGGAGATACCGTCTTCGGTAACGTCAATAAAGGGAAGCTCAAATTTAACGTATTCTGCCAGGTGGACAGTTTATCGGACGATGTGGCTAGCGTAAAGGTGGCTATTACGGATCCTTCGGGAAAGGTCAAGGACATCCAGTCTCAGGACGTGAGCGGCAGCCAGAAGGATAATTTCTGGTTCCGGACTTACGATTTTACGTATGATTTCAGCAGCGCGGGCAAATATAAAGTGGGGTTCTACATTAAGGCCACCAAGACCAGCGACTACGTCCTCGTATCGCAAAAAGTAATCACTGCGCTGAACTGACAACCCCCGAGGAGGATAAATTGACCAGATCATGCGGACGTGATACGATACGGTGGTATGATCCATTCCAACCATAAGTGAGGTTTTTGTTAAAATGAGCGATCACAAGCATGAACACGGCGAAGCATGCAATCATGATCATGACCATGATCACGAGCATGAGGAATTTGTTCTGACGCTGACAGATGAGAACGGCAAAGACGTGGAAATGGTTCTTGTCGAAACATTCGATGTAGGCGAGAACGTTTATGCACTGCTGCTGGAACGTGAGAATCCTGAAGCGGACGGCATCATCCTTCGCGTCGAGGAAGAGGACGAGGAAATGATGCTTTACAATATTGAAGACGAAGAAGAATGGAACAAGGTGGAAGCCGCTTATAACGAGCTGGTTGCCCAGTTGGACCAGGAGTAATCCTTTTCGCCACAAGCCCTACACCAAGAAACCCCCGAACCGCAGCGAAAGCGGGACCGGGGGTTTCTTTTTTGGTGCAGGCGGCAAACAGCCGCGCGTATTAAAAAATCGGATCGGTTTCCACAATGACCTTGACGTTTTGAATATACCGGTCTTCCGGTCCTTTTACCGGGAGTCCGACGTCCACATGGTCGACGATGTAGTCGATATTGTCTTGGGAGATGACCTCTCCCGGAAGAAGGATCGGAATGCCCGGCGGATACACATAAATGAACTCGGCAATGATGCGTCCGGCCGATTCCTTGAACGGAATGACTTCCGTATCCCCGTAGAAGGCGTCCCTTGGGATGAGGGACAGCTGCGGAATTTCCGGAATTTTAACAACCAGCTCGTTGGCTGTGTTTACATTATAGTAGGTCTGTGCCAGCTCGCGGAGCGCATTCACCAGGATGGAGATGGTCTCCTCGTTATCCCCTGGCGTAATCAGGCACAGGATGTTGTACATGTCGCTCAGCTCGACTTCGATATTATACTTTTCGCGAAGCCAGTTTTCGGTCTCATAGCCGGTGATGCCCAGGTGGCGGACATGGATGGTCAGCTTGGTCGGATCATAATCGTAAGTCGCTTCCCCGCCGAGAATTTCCTTGCCGAAGCAGTAGAGACCTTCAATTTCATTGATTTGCTTGCGGGCGGACTGCGCCATGTCGATGGCACTTTGGGCCATGGCATATCCGTTCAGCGCCAGGTTCCGTCTGGAGGTATCCAGCGAGGCGAGCAAAATGTAGGAAGTCGACGTCGTGGTCAGCATACTGATGATCGTCTGCACGCGCTGCGGATTGACATAGCCGTTCTTCGTGTTCAGATTCAGCACGGAGCTCTGCGTCATGGAGCCGCCCAGCTTATGCACGCTCGTCGCGGCCATATCCGCTCCTGCATCCATAGCGGACATCGGCAGTTCCGGATGGAAATGGGTCAGCACGCCGTGGGCTTCGTCCACGAGGACGGGCACATGCCGGCTGTGGGCGAGGTCCACGATCTCCTTCAGATTGGCGGAGACGCCGAAGTACGTCGGATTAATGACGAGAACCGCCTTGGCGTCCGGATGACGATCCAGGGCCCGCTGTACGGAGCGGACGGTAATGCCGTGGTCGATCCCTAAATTTTCGTCGCGGGCCGGCGATACGAAGACGGGCTTGGCCCCG